GAAAATTCTTGTGGTGTAAAATGTAATTTGGCCTGAGAAAGTTTGCAATAGACTAGAATATATTCATACTTTTAGAAGAGCTAAAAAGCATTAAAAATAAAACAACCACTCTGGGAGCGCCTGGGTGATTCAGTCAGTTAAGCATCTAATTCCTGACTTTGGCTCAGGTCATGATCTCACAGTCATTAGATTGAGCTCCATGTCTGCCTCTGTGCTGACAGCACAGAACCTGCTTAGAATTCTCTCTCACTGTCCCTCCCCACTTTCTCTCTCAAAAAAGATAAATCAAAACTTTAAAAAATTGTAAGTACCCTGTTAATACTAATTAATAAAATAATTGTCTTGAAATGGCAATTTGAATTTACATTTGAAAAAGTTATCATTTTTAATGTAAGCAATTTTCCAAATCGTTTACACATCTTGCGAAGGAATATTATAACATCTTTTAAAACAGAATAATTATATATGCCTTCTAAAACAAAAATTACTGGGGTGCCTGGGTGGCTTAGTCGGTTAAGCATCTGACTTCGGCTCAGGTCATGAGCTCACGGTTTGTGGGTTTGAGCCCCCTGTCTGGCTTTCTGCTGACAGCCATCTCTGAGTCTGGAGACTGATTCAGATTTTGTGTCTCCCTCTCTCTCTCTGACCCTCTCCTCCTCACGCTGTCTCTATCTCTGTCTCTCAAAAATAAATAAAACATGAAAAATTTTTTAAAACAAAAATTATTATTTGCTCTCCTTTACTTAACATGATGCTGTTGGTCTGCTAGATTTCTTTTCTACATTCTAGATATGTAAAAAATGATTTTAAAATTTGCATCACCTGCTGTGAAAACAGTTTTGATCTGTTCCATTTAACTCCTTTCATACTGTAAGAAGCTCTAGTTACACACAAATATTTGTAAATCACGTTTCAAATAATTGTTCATGTTCGTGTTCATGCACTATACCAGTAGACGTATGTGTTATGTTATCTATAGACACACAAACTAAATGCCATGAGCAATTTACTTTTTAGAACCCCTCCTGATGACTGATGTCAAATCCCAAATCCATACTTGAGCTCAATGTTTTCCATTGAAGTCAACTGGGAGTGAATAACAGAAATAAGCATGTTACTGCTCTAGATGCTTAGTCTCATTTCCAGTCTACTTTATTCTTCCACAAGCATAATCTTATTAGTCCAATAAATTAAGATCTTTTATAGAAAAAAAAGTATAATTTATTTATTGAGAACACCCATTAAGCACTCCCCCCTCTTTCAGACACATGACTTATTTATTTTAAGTTAGATACATTAATAATTCACTACCTGGACATTAAATTTACTGTATGATAATTAAGTACTTTCTTTTTACATTTTTATAGAATCTAAGAACAAACATTTTGACAAAGGCTATTGATTATAGAATCAATTGTAGGCCTCACTGCATGACATGTTGGTCTGTCATAAAATTATTTTAGTTGAAATCAGCCGTTTAAGTCACCTTACCTCCATAGCAGTTCTTCGATTTTTACGAACTCATTTATATCTAAAGTTCCAATGTGGATGGAAAATAGCAATTTAACTGGATTATCTCCCTTTCATTCTTTGGAATGCTCTAGTGTTGTCATGAAAATTACAGTTATGTTTAAGCCACTTTTACTATCACTATCTTTTTTAGTAAGTGGTGACAAATGGAAAGTACTCACAGGAAATTGAAATGCTGAGATGAATTGAAAAGTAAGCCAAGGCATTTTAAGAAAATGCTAACACAGAGAAATAAATCCCTTTATAAAGGATAGATGGTGAATAAATTACATCCACTTCATATTGGCTTTCAAATTGGTTTCAGTATTTAACATATCCTTTCAGAGACTATAGAATATAAAATTCCACAGCATTTCTATCATTTTCATTTGAGCAATATTCATTGCTAGTCATTATTATTTTAATTTTAGTAAAATAAACCATAAATTTCCCTCAAGATAAAGTAGTTGCAAACTACTAAACTATCTAGTCCTTCTTTCACAATAAAATCCCTCTAATTGTTTAGATGGAAAAGTCCATCACCTTCATCAAGGAGTATTAAGTAGACAAAATTGAAGCAAACTTTAATTACTAGTGAAACTTCTCTGTGATTAAAAACTGCTCTTATTCATACCACACTTAGTTTTCTTAATGGAAACATTAAGATTTTAATTGTAATTTTCTCTAGCTTGAGATCATGGCACAATATCTGTGGAGTAGAGAGAAGGTGACTCAACCACAACTGTTCACCATTTACAATGAAACCCTGAACTATTTGCAGATGGTGGTATTCAACAAAGGCTATAGCAAGTAATAGATCTCTAACACATGCAAAATAATTGAGTCAGCCTAAGGTCTCAGTGACTTCTCAAAGAAGGGATTGCTGAATTCTTTTTACGCTGAAGACAAGTCACTAATTAGTAATAATAGTAATAGTTCAACTGAGACTTTAGGAAATATGGTAGAAAACTGTTAGGATGCTCATGTAGGTTGGCTACTGCCTTTGGTCTTCAGTTGTATAATGAAAATAGACTGAATCAGGTAAACATTTGGATTTCACTTTAATGTCATAGGAGTACATTCCAGAGTAGTAATGGTGAGAATCTCCTTCTCAATCTTTTATAACTACTCTTTTTCTCACCCTTTGGCCTCCTAACACAATGGGAAGGTTGAAATGTAATTATTGTTTCAGTGCCTTTAAAATTATAAAGGAAGCAGCTCTGCTTATGAATTTAAGTAATAGCATCATTATTGTTTTTCAGCTCACAAGATGAATACAGTTCAATAACTATGATCAGATACTAGGAAGCATAAAAGTTTAAATTAAAGTTATTCAGTAAAAAAAACAAAAGTAGTATTACACTATGTTCTTTCAAATTCAGGAACTGCCTTCAGTATGGGCATATTTGTGGCTTAATGCCTCTTAAATTTTATTTTCAGTAACATCCTCTCACTGAATCCTGGCAGAATATAACAATATGAAGGGACATTAAGATCATAGGTCTTTTTTTGTAATGAAGTGATAGATTATCTTATTTCTTTTTACTTCCTTCCTCAGTATATCACTATGAGTAAATGTTGAAGACTGTAATAAATTGACATCATATTTTCAAACCCTCTCTTTTATGCTGAAGGTCGTTTGGATAGGCTCTTGCCAGTAGTTTCCAATAAGATGCTATTGCCTAGGTACCACTTAAAGTAAAATTTGTCAAGGAGCTTTTTGGGAGGTGGGATTAAACTAATTATGCACAGAAAAACACACACTACTTTGAAGTAAACTTTTAGAAATTAAAGAATTGCATTGTTAAGGCAGGTATCATTCTAATTAAGTGTATGTTTTAGTTTAAAGTCAAATATTATTAAGTAAGTAATACAAAATAAACTAGACCCTTCCTCAATTTTTTATAAAAAGCTCTAACCTGATTAATGCTGAATTATTTTAGAAAATAAGAATAACTAACTAAACTATATAATCAAGAGTTAGTAAAAATACATAAAATTCTAGATTCACAGCTAGAACAAATTCACTTACTCAGGTAATGGGTTTTCTATCTTCCAGCCAATCAAACCAGTAAGGTCTCAACATAGGAATGGAATTTTGGAGACAAACAAGAATCTGAATGTTGGGGGGCCTGAGTGGCTTGGTCAGTTAAGGGTCCAGCTCTTGATTTTAGCTCAGGTCATAATCTCAGGGTGGTGAGATCGATCCTCGCCTCTCTCCACTCTGGATGTGGAGCCTGCTTAAGACTCTCTCTCTCTCTCTCTCTCTCTCTCTCTCTCTGTGCCTCACTGCCTCCCTCTGATTGTGTACTCTCTCTAAAAGAAAAGAAATAGAATCTGATTGTTAACCTTGTCACTAAGTAGCTGTATGAATGTGGGTAACTTGCTTAACTTCTCTAAGTTTCAATTTTCTTGCCTGAATAATGGATACATAATTAGAAAGAACCAATGAGATAGATTATATACAGCCATTTGAACTTTGTTTAGTGACTAATAAGCATACCTATGTACTTGCTATTCTTATTTCTGTATTGTTGTTATTATTATATGCCTATTAATATACAAATCTGAAATAAATATATTCAAAGAATGTACATTGATTTTCAATTTGTATAAGTGTGTATTTATCAACTAAGTAACTTCATTACGTCCTATGTTGTGTATGTATTATTTATTTATATAACTATGCTAAGCTTTAGTGTCTTCCAAAACTCACATGTTCAAAGAGATAAACATTCTAAAATGGATATAAAATAGTGTTTAAGAGAAAGGAATTAAACTATGTTTGGAGCCCTGGCTGTACTGCTTCCATAGGACCTTAAGCATCACATGAACTATCTGTGCTTAGGGTGCCCCTAGCATATGTGAAGCATAGGTAAATATTTTTTGTAGAAATCCTATCTATATAAATCATTTTAGTGCCCCTAAATTAGCATGCTGCTACTTTCTGATACTAGCTGCGTACTATTTAATGAAAGAAATGGCATAGATGTCAGTGTGAGTGTTTAACTTGCCAGTCTAATCTTCTGGAATCGGGGACAAGAATCACTAGGCTCTGGGACATCACACTGTGTGTGAGTGTCAAGGCCTGTTACAGCATAGATGAGTTAGGAAAGTGCCCAAAGGAAAGAAATAGAGACTGGGCCCTACCTGGGAACCAGGCTGGGCTTAGGACTCCCTACTCAGATGATATCACTCGTACAAACCTGTGCCAGAGGGGAACTTTTTTTGAAGAAGGCATCCATAAGTACAGGCTTTCATGAGTCCCAGTGAAACATGACCCAAAGTAGCAGCCCTGTTATCTGTGTAAGAGGACAGTACTGCTCTGAGCAACAGCCTCCTAAGTTGTCCCATGATAATATCAATAGTGCACTTAATATGTTACCATATGCTTTAAAGAAGCTGTTGTACATACAGCTCAGCACAGTTATATCACCATAAATAACAAATAGTTACAAAACATGAAAGTATTTTAAAAATCAAAAGTACAGACCCTTTTGTTGTTCATAGCATGATGATTGGGTGTTCAGGCTCTCCTGTCCCATGTGCCTCCCTCAAATCTTGTTACAATGTCAGCACATTACCCATCTGAAGTGAAGAAAAAAGAAAAAACATCAAAAGTATAGGAATGTCTACAGAAATCAATCTTACAAGAAGGTCTAACCAGTGGAGATCCTACATGGCTCAGTCAGTTGACCGGCTGACTCTTGATCTCAGCTTAGGTCTGGATCTCAGTATTCAGAGTTCAAGCCCATCTGTGATGGGCTCGGTGCTGGATGTGAAGCCTACTCAAAAACTAAACAAAACAGGGCTCAGTCGGTTAAGCGTCCGACTTCGGCTAAGGTCATGATATCATGGTTCGTGGGTTCACCGGTTCATGGGCCCGGCCCTGCATCGGGCTCTGTGCTGACAGCTAGCTCAGAGCCTGGAGCCTGTTTCAGATTCTGTGTCTCCCTCTCTCTATGACCCTCCCCTGCTCATGCTGTCTCTCTTTCTGAAATAAATAAAACATTAAAAAATTAAAAAACAAAAACAACAAAACAAAACACAAAAAAACCCTCTACCCACAATTCAATTGTTTATTCCTCAATCATAACCACATGCTGTTTTATTTATAAAAATCATAAATCATAAATAGTTAAAAACTCCCTATTGCCTCCACAAATGCCCAATATATTTTAAAAAATAAACTTTACTTATTCTACTTGAAAAAAAAGGACTTGAGAATTTGGAAATTGACAAACTTAGTGTGCATCAGAATCATACGAAGAGCTTATGAAAAGGTGACTAGGGGTCAACTTTAGAATTTATTTTTCTATGGGCAGGACTTAATAATTTGCATTTCTGACAAATCCCTGAATTGATTCAAATGCTGTTGATGTAGGAACCACACTGTTATGAGTTATTCTTATAATAACATCATTGCCTCATTTTTTATTTTCTATTTTTTAATCATTTCTAGGTTTTTCCAAGATTGTAATGGAAAGAGTTATTTTCATCTATTTAACAAACCTGTAAAACGTTTCAGAAAATAATTTCTTCTCTTGCATACCCTCCATCATTCTGAGTTCATTGCTTTAACTAATTTTATATATAAATATATAATAGTATATTTATCAATGTATACATATAGTTAAAATTATATAATATTTCACAAAAACAAAAATATGTGTGACCAACATTCTTCATTATTGATGACTTTGACTCAACATGAAAACAGTATGTTAATTGAAGGAGATCATTTTATCTGTGTCTTTTAATTTATCAGTGCACTCACTTTATTTTGGGGTTCTGAAGCATTGGATCACCTTTCTCTTATGACTTCATTCCTGTTTTTATATTCCATTTTTTATTTCATTTATATTCCATTATTATATTTCTTTTTATTGATTTGGCCTCAAGAAGTAAGTTCATATAAGTAAAAATATTACAAAATATTCATAAATAAAAGAACTTTATTCAGCAGTACTGTGAGAAATACCTGAGGTCACAGATGTTTTAAGCCAATAGGTTCCATTGCTATACAGGTTACTGTCACAGTCCAGGTCAGGCTGCCCCAAAATGTATCACAATGATATACTGATCATGTTGAATTAAAGTTGTTTAAGCAAGTCAGTTGCAAAAAGGACACTCTGGCCTTTCTTTGTCTCCAGAAAGTAGGAATAAATCCCCCATGTGAAAGGTACCTTTTCTATACAGGATGGTAAAGAGATATTATTAACACCCGAGATAGGAATTTAGAGCTGAGAAGACTATAAACCAAACAAACCATGTTACTTTTACTAATTTACTACTGCAGCTCAAATTCCGTTTAGGGTTTCTTCCTATTTGAAGCTCCCAAACAAAACTTTTCTTTGTCCTGTCAAATCTTCACAGATTTATGTCTCTTTGACTAAAATGTATAAAAGCTGGATGCCTTGGTCATTTCTTCAGGTCTCAGTTGTATTGTTTGGACCCCATGCACATGTCATGAAATTTTGATTCCTCTCTCCTGTTAATCTGTCTCCTGTCAGTTTAATTCTTAGAACAGCTAGAAGAACCTTGAACACTTGAAAAATTTGTCCTCCTCATATCATGCTAAAAGTAGAATTTATCTTGATACTAAGTATATGTGTACATTTTTGAGATCTCAGTGTGAAGTCTTCAGAGAGATTGAAATAATAGATTAAAAGCACCTCAAGTATTTAGTATTTGCTGCCATATTTTCTGAAAGTTTTCCTTGAGACCAGTTCCTGGGTGGCTCATTTGGTGAAGAGTCTGACTTTAGCTCAGGTCATGATCTCACATTTTTTGTGTGTTTGAGCCTCATATCGGGCTCTGTGCTGACAGCTCGGAGGAGGCTGGAGCCTATTTCTGGTTTAGTGTCCCCTCTCTCTCTGCCCCTCCCCTGGTTGCTCTGTCACTCAAAAATAAATAAAGATTAACATTTTAAAAAATTTCCTTGAGATAATGAATATCTGTATTATATATGGATAACTAAGTAAATGAACAAACCTTGACATTTCTCACAATAAATGAAATGTAGGAACATGATTGCATTTAATAATTTTTTTACAGAATTCAATTGTTTTTTGCATCTTTTGGTCAGCCTTTCTAACACTGTCTTCCCCTTTCCCCTTCTACTGGATCCCCAGCTTCTCTTAGGGGATCATATGAGTCTGGAATGCTGACAACCACCTCACCATCAAAGCACAGCAGCCTGAGGTGTGCCGTTTGCTAAGTTTAATCACTATTTTGTCTATACTGTTGGCCATGTGGATTGTATACTTACTCATAATATAGTTTAAACTAATCCAGTCAGAGTGCTTCTCTAAGCACTTGTTAGCAATACTGTGATACTTCTTCTTTCTTGCATGGTATAGAAAAAGTAAAAGCATATAAATGAGGATCTGTTAGTAGTGAATTTTCCACCAAAGGGGAAACCAGTCTGAAGATAAAACCAATTGTCAGTGCAAAAATCAGAAACTAGGTCTTACGTAGTGTTTCTGAACCACTGATTAAGGACTTAATTGAAGCAACCTCTATATGTACTAGTAGGTGAACCAACAAATTATTTAGTGGTTTAGTGAGTTTAAATTGCTTATTAATACTTGAAAAATAAAGGGCTTTTAGATACAATATATACAACAATAGAGAAAAAACATGTTTTTAAAGTTCAAGGTATGTTCTAGGTACACTTTAAATACATATTTAAGTACAGATAACACACATAAAAGTAAGTTGTGCGACATTGCTGCATTTAAAAACTATGTTTGAAATTTACATCTTACTACATTCAAAATTTCTAAAATTATTTGGGCTGGTTTGCAATATCAACGTCAAAATAACAGCACAGTTAACATAAAACCTCCAATGTAAACTCAGAACGAGTATAAAATTATCGGAGAACTAACTGTAAGGTTGTACAATTACTTTTAACTTTGAAGATTTGAAAACAAAACATGTTGCATTGTCTGAAAAAGAACACGTGGACATTAATTTGAAGTCAATCTTTTTTCTGCTATTAACTAAGTGAGGATTTGTCACTGTGGTATCATTAGACCAGGTGCCTTTTTGATTAAATCACTTACTATAGGTTGATAAACAGTCTAGTGAAGTAGCTGTTAATATGCAGCATACAAAAGAATCAAATAGAGAACATGTGATAAAAATGTGTATTTCTCATCCCACATTCTTAGATATTCTAAATAAAATGTCTGCAGTTCTCTCATGGATTCTATATTTTGTAGGCAGTCCACATGTGTTAAATCCAATTTGTTCAGGAGATAAAACTCTGAGAAACATAAATCTTTAATGCTATGATGATCTTAGCAGATCTTTATGTCATGGTTCATTAGTAGTCAACCTGTAACTTAATTTAATTCCCTCTATTTGAAAATATAAATACATGCACTGGTAAAAGACGTATACAACAGGAAGTCACATCAACCACCCCAGTCCTTCTCCACAGATACAATCATAGTGCTAGATGCCTAGGTATCATTTCAGAAATTCATTGTTCATATAAATTCAGCTCTCTTTCTCCTCCCTACAATTGATCATTTAGCTACATCATGGTGTTTCTTGAAATGAAGGCAAGAATATACTAGAAGTGCCACTTTTGTCTCGAGGATTATACTCGCCAACATGATATCTTTGTAAGGTGACCATTTACCATCAATTATAATCAGCAGTATTCATATCTTCACTGAACAGACTTCCTATTAGTCCTTACTGGCTGCAATTAGAATGCGTTTCTAGAATGGAAATTTACTTAAATTAATATTTTAAATACTAGCTTTTGTTTGAAGAGATTGTAGCTGACAAATACACGTATTGCATGTAAGGTAGATTATGATAAATACTTAAATACGTACAGGAGACAAGACATAACTCCACTCTCACTACATGTACTAAACGGCATTGATAGATATATTAAAGTTTTTATTTTATCCTTATCTTTTTATAATTGATGGATAATTCATTTTAATACAATCAAGAAAGGACTTGTCAAGTATTTAGAAGAATTAGTTCTTACAATCAACTTTAATCAGAGCCAGTTATGTAATCTTGACTAAGCCATTTAATTTATAGTATCATAACATCCCTACCTACAAAATGATATTAGTGATCTCTAATATTAGTTCCCGGTTAAAATCTATTTACTATTATTTATCCTGAAATAAGCTTATTTTCGTTGCCTAACGTGTTCTGTTTTGTGTATATCTCACAACCTTTAAGCTCCTATTCTCAGTTCACTTTTACCCTTTATTGATTTTCCTCCAAGAACAGGTCTAGTATTTTATTGAGCCTTAGCTGAAATATTTTGTGTTAAGCAGAGGAATTTACATCTCAAAGCTAGATAAGTTGTTAAATACCTCTATTAAGATATAATTCACATATTATAAAATCCATCAATGAAAGTACACAAATGAATATTTTAGTATATTCATGGAGTTGTGCAATCATTACTGCCATCAATTTTAGAACATTTAATTACCCCAAAAGAATCCATTAGATGTCATTCTACATTTTTATCCAACTCCTGACCTTAGGTTAGGCAATCATTAATCTTCATTTTGTCACTACAGATTTTCCTTTCTGGATGTTTCATA